TTACCCCCCCCCCCCCCCCCCCCCCCCGAGGCTGCGCCCCGGCCAGCCCAGCCAGCCGGGGCGGGACCCAGGGCCTTCCCACCTTGCGAGTGCAGGGAGATGGCCTTGCCGCGGAACTGGTTGAACTCCTTGGTGCCCATGGCGTTGCGGGTGACAACCACGATCGGCGCAAACGGGCCACCGGCGCCTTTGTTGCCGGCCACCACGGCCAAGCTGCGGCGGCCTGCGCGGCAAGAGACAAGGCAGGGGGCTATAGAGGGGTGAGCGCGGCTGCCGTGGTGACCACAGCCAGTCGGGTTTGCGGCAGTCTCCCACCCAACCAGCATCAGCCTGCGGGCCCCCGCAATGCCCCGCCCAACCCCAGTCATTCTGCTCCCCTGATCCATCCAACACACACCTGAGGGCTGCGAGCTGCTGCTGGCCACGGTGGGCCGCTGCTGAAGGGCTGCCGGCGCTGCAAAGCTAGACGAGCTGGACCCCAGGCTCTGTGCGCGCATGGCGATGGATGGCCGCTGGCAGGCCATGGATGGCCGGCAGGAGGAGCTGCTTGCTGCAAGGGCCGCCATCTCTCTACCACTGGCTTGTGCTGGTTACCTCTGACGCTGCGCGCGGAGCTGGGATGGAGGGTTGATGGATGTTGGCGGATGAATGGCTGGGTGGGCGCCAGGCCGCTTTTCTGGTCGATGGCCGGCATCGACACCGCACGCAGCACGCGCAGAGTCTCCCATATCGCCATTCGGGCACTTGCGCACTCAATGGGTCGGGCAACAGCAATGCAGGGGCCTCTGGCGGCAGCTGAGCTGTAAACTGGTGTTGCAAGAGAAATGCATGGCCGTGGCGGCAGGCAGCGGGAGGCAGGGCTCCCGCCCGGGGCGGGAGGCTGGACACAAGAACAAACAGCTGGAGCAGCAGAAGCAGGGCAGAGTCAAATACAGAAGCATGCAAATGCATAATGAAAGCAGAGGCAACGGTTACAGGCTTAGAGGTGCGGCCCGAGCCTCGGGCGGCTTGGAGCCAGCGGGCCGCCACAGCGAGGTGCGGCGACAGGCTGGGCTGGACTGACTGCGGGCGCCTGCCCTGAGCTCAATCGCTGTCAGAGGCAGACCCCAGCTGGTGGTCCTGCAGAGAAGCAGGGTGGACTCATGTCACTCGGTTGTGGCAGCTGGCGACCTGCCATTATTCCAGCTCGCAAACAAAAGGCCAGGCAGCAGCAAGCCGTGCCTTGCTAGTGAGAGGCACATAGGCGACGTTCATGGCATTGCGGCGACGCACGCTCCCATCCGCGCCCTTGTCCACAACCGCCAGCGACTGCACAGGGACACAGGGGCGGCTGAGGTGAGCATGACACGTAGTGGGCACTGCCTGCTGGCGCGCCTACAGCAGCGGTGTGCTGAGCATGCAGAGTGCCTGCGACAGCGGCCCCAGCCCTCATCCCCTGCTCGCCTGCATGCCGCCCTCGGGGCCCACAGGCACCACCATGCGCCCGCCCGGAGCCAGCTGCTCCACCAGCTCCTGCGGCAGCCGCGGCGCAGCTGCCCCCACGTGGATGGCATCGTACGGCGCCTCGGCGGGGTACCCCTTGCGCCCATCGCCCACCACCAGCGCCAGGTGGCCTGCAGTGGGAGGGGCGGCAGCGGTGGGGCTCCCCCCCCCCCCAGTGGACACTGACGGCGGCAACCGGTACGGCTCGACGCCTGCCATCAAGCGAAATTTGACTGAATGCGTGTCCGCCGCCGCGGCCCGACCGGGCCTCACCCTGCCTCATCATCTGCGCCAGCGCCTCGTCCCTGCCAATGTTCTGCTCCGCCTGGCGCTGCAGCTCGGGGATGTGCTCAATGCCCACCGCCTTGCCCGGCGCGCCGCCGCGGCTCACCAGCTTGGCAAACGCGGCGGTCAGGTACCTGGCCCAGGTGGGGGGGTGTGGGGTGGGTGGTGCGGTAGTGGACGTGTGGTGTGTGGCCCCAGCATTTTGCGGTAGAAGTCTTGCCCGTCTGCCTGAGCTGGGTCTTTCTAGCTGTCCTTTCCAGCTGTCTTGCTGCCGGCGCTCACCCGGTGCCGCTGCCCACATCCAGCACCTTGGCCCCCGGCCTCAGCTGGTCTAGCAGCAGCTCCAGCGCATAGGCGTGCATGTGCGGCGCGCTGATGGTGGCGGCGTAGCCGATCGACTGCGGCGCATCCATGTACGCCCACTGCGGGCAGCGGCAGCACGAGGGCGGGGGGAGGCGCAGCCACGGGTGCAGCAGGGGGAGGCAGGTGGGGCAATGGGGGGTGCCCGGGAACCCGCCGCCGCCGTGACGAGCCAGCAAGGAAAAGACGGCAGCCGGCCTCACGTCTGCGCCCTCTGCAAAGTGCCTGCGGTCGATCGAGCGCAGCACCGCCTCCACCTCCGGCGATCGGACAACCCCAACCTCTGCGTTGGGCAGTCGGCATGCAGGGGAGCGCGGGGCTCGGCACTCGTGCTGGCACCAACAGGAGCAGGCCTGCTTCGAGAGATGAGCGGCCAAGGCAATGGGGAGGACGGGCAGGCTGCAACCAGGAACACAGGATGCAGCTGCACAGGTCAGACGCACCTATCAGATTGTCCACCAGGCCCGACTGCGAGCCAGCCAGCGTCCGGTAGGCCATGGCTCGGGTCAGCAGCAGGCGGGGTTGGTGGGTGCCGATCAGCGCGGCGCCTTCGGCGAGCGCAAGTAACAGTACCGCTGCTTTATGTTCGATCTTTATTCTTCTCCACGCGCTGCCAAGCATCCGCAGGGGCGCAGCGCGCAGGCAGGTGTGGGTCGGAGTTGCAAAGCGGGGTGCCGTTGTGGGACTGTCGGCCAGCTCCCCGATTTCTGCTACGAGAGCCCGCGTTGCAAGGAGCGCCACATCGAGCGCCGAGACAGCAGGGTTTGGATCCACAGCGGCGGCCCTGCTGATGTCAGCAGGGCGCCGAGGCGCCGAGGACAAGTGGGCAGCGCTGGAGTGCCCGATCCCAAAGAGGTCATCATTCCAAGGCTACAGAGAGGAGGCCACCAGGCGGCGCAGGCAGATTAGGCGTGCGGCGGGCGTGTGGCTCAGCGGCGCCTCTGGGTCGGGGTAGGCTTCCATGAAATGCCGCCTCATCTCCTCCAGGCGCTGCTCCCCATGCTGCAGCAAGGCACTGCAAACCAGGAGGTGAAGCAGCAAGGCTTTGTAAAGCATCAGTATTGATAAGCGCTGCACCGCGTCGGCCGCCAAACCGGGCCCACCTGTGCCAGGGACCTGCAGAATAGGCATGAGGAAGGCACAGAACAACGCTAATGTGAGGCAACACGTATGCCGATGCAGACACACGGTGTGGTGCAGGCGCTGGGGGATGCGGGCTCACCAGCCCGCGTCATGCTCTCCCAGAAGACGGCCACGCTTGGCCACGCCATCTCGTGTGCCGGCCGCGAGTCCTGCAGGCCCCCAAGAAGTGTTCCCCCAACCACACAGCAGATTGAGGCCGCAGGATGATGATCGCCAAGCAGAGTGTGGGGCAAGCCGCAAGGCCCCACCTGCAGCAGCTCAGCCCCCTCCAGCAGCGCGGCGCCTGGGATGTCGGCATCCCATTGCCCCGGGGGCTTGAACCTGGGGGTGATGTCAGCCAGGCGCTTCCAGGGGCCCCGCTCCTCCACTGTCGGCGGCCAGAAGCAGACTGACAGCACGCCGCCTGCGAGCAGATCGATGACCAGGGCCACATTTCAGCCATCGGGTGCTGGCAGGCAGCGCAGCACCGCCCCTGCCTGTTCACGTGCCAGCCCAAGCCAGGCCCACCACACTGACCTGGATGTAGGGCCCTGGTCCAGCTGGCCAGAACTTCGGCCGGCTGCGGCATCTGCACGGCAGCAAGGGCCCCTGTCTGCTCAGCCGTTGGCGGCCAGCCGTGAGCGGCACAGTTTCGGCAGCGTGGCAGCCACGCACCCACCCACCTGCTGCAGGCCAAACACCGACAGCACGCCAGCCAGCGGCGCCAGGTCGTCCAGCCGGCAGGCATCGCCCACCCTGCGAGGCGGCAGGCGAGTGCTGCCTCCTTGTTGTTGTCATGCATCCTGCGGGAGCCAGCTGGGCTCTGCAGGCCGGCCTGCGCTGCCTGCTTGCCTGCCCCATCCCTGCCACTCGCCTGACTTCCACACGGGTCCCCAGGCCCTGGCTGTCCACCAGCTGCCGCGCCATCTCCACCATGCCCTCAGCCAGATCGATGCCCACCACGCGGTGACGCGGGAAGGCCGCCGCCACCAGCGGCAGCTCCTGGCCTGCAGCCCGGGAGACAGAGGGAAGCTGGTCGGGGGCACATCCAGCACCAGCAGCAACACCAGCATGTAAGATTGAGGAGTGACGCCAGTGGGCCATAGCACTCACCAGGGCCACAGCAGGGCACGGCGATGGTGCCGGCCGGCAGCGCCTTGCCAGCGAGGAGGTTCAGTGTGTCGAGCGTCCAGGGCATGAAGCGGGGCACGAACAAGCGGTTGTAGCCCTCTGCTACACAGGTCCAGCTGCGCTGGAGCAGCGCCAGACGGTCCTGGGCCGACGCCATGACGGGGTGGCGGCGTGGAGGGGAGTGGCGGCGGCGCGGGCGGGGGCAAGGTGCTGCCCTGCGGCACACAGTCCCGCGTCCTGCTGGATGCGGCTGTATGGATGCGGCACAATGCCTCCGTTGCTGGGGCGGCACTAGGTGGGTAAGCGATCGGGGGAGTGAGCGCAGTGTTTGGTTCATGCCACGAATGAAACGCTAATGCAGTGGCATGATCATGCACGAGAAGAGGGCGAGCTTGATCGGAAGCGCATCATGAGGTGGCGGCGGCTGACTCCACCGCCTGCCGGCACGAGGTGGTACTACCAAATGCACCTAGTTGCCTGAGGAAATCTTACACAGCCGCTCTCCAGCTGTTACAGGCATCAAAACGGCTTCCATCGCGCTGCCGGTCATCAAGTTGCACAGCAGCAGGCTCAGTGCGGCACCACCAGGTTGCACACCCAGCTCCCGCCGTGGTGCACGCTGTTCCACTTGAGCACCATCTGGTAGAGGCAGGCCCAGCACCCCATCAGGCTCATCACTATAGAGACGGGGATGACCCAGGTGGACAGCGTGTACTCCAGAGCCGTGATTTGGTTGGCCTGCAGGGGCCACCACATGGCGCCTCGACGGTCTTGGGTCACCGAACGGCAGCAACGGCTTGAACAAACCAGGCATGCAGCCAGGCAGTGCAAGGGGCTCACCAGAAGCTTGAGGGAGAACATGCACGGGAGCGTGAAGGCGATGGGCACATAAGCGACAGATACCAGCAGCCCAGACAGATACATGAAGGTGTGCGGGAAGGTCCCGCTGACAACGTAGCTGCAGAGAGCAGACATACGGTGGCATGATTGGCTCTTCATTGATGGCTGAGCCTTGAGCAGGCATTGCCCAGTCGACCAACGCTTCAGCCCAACTGCCGGCGGCCCCGCTCCCCACCTGATTAGCACCAGAATGCTGCTGCACAGGAACCAGAGCTGACGGGGCTTGATGTGCATGCTGGAGTCCACGCCATCAGGATCAAACCACTGCACAGCATGTTCAAAATAAGTTAGCCTGTCATGTCAGGCACATGGCGCATGTGGCCACCACCTGGCGGAAGCAGTGCCTTGCGAATACGGGCAAGCCCACACACACACAACAAGGTGCTTGCGACTCACGTTGACGAGCAGGTGGGGCAGGCGGGGCAGCAGGCTCTTGGTGCCCAAGTGCAGCGCCACCACAGACTTGACCGTCATCAGGGCCCACAGCACAAGATTGATGAAGCGGCTCAGCAGGTCGGGACCAAAGGCAAAGCTGATGAAGCTGTGCGGGTGCAGGGGCTGCACGCAGGTGCAGGCACAAACCGGCATTGTTGCATGCTGACCTAGGGAGATGGGGGACCAATGAGAGTTGCAGCACCCACCTGCTGCTGGCTGTTCCGCAAGGTGCATGGGATGGTGGCTGGACAGGCTGCATGCGAAAACAAGCAAGCCTCCCTTCCGGCATGGGTGCCCGCCCACCTGCACCCTCAGCGTTGCAACGGCCACGGCCACATTCGCCAGCAGTGTCACCACTTGCGCCCAGGCGGTGGAGTGTTGAAAGGTGCTGGGGGCCCCCATCGACGACATCTCCTCCATAAAGAAGCTGCAATGGGGGGTAGGGTGCGGGGTGCCTCAACTCATGTGCCCGCTGTGATACCACCGTTCTCATCATCAGCAGCAGTCACAGGGAGGTGCCGAGGTCCCCCGTCGATGACAGCAGCACACAACTCACTGCTGCCCCATGTAGTTGGCGCTGATCAGCTGCACTACCGCGATCACATAGTCTGCATGCCAGGGGCGGTGGCTGGCAGGATGTAGATTGCAGGCACCTGAGGCATGCAGCTGCGCAGGAAGGGCCAGCCCATCTGCACTCCCCAGCCAGCCAGGCTCCACGAGTGCCATCCCTCGCTCGACTGCCTCGCACCGGACAGGTATATGCTGCTGGCCTCGTCTGCATCAAGCGCCAGCACCTGCGGCGCCTGGCCCTGCTGCGCCCGCATGAGCAGCAGCTTGAGCAGCGTGGCGGCCACCGCCACCACCGTCAGAGCGGGCTGCACGATGCGGATGAGGGATGGGTGGCTGCCCAGCCGCTGTATCTGCACCAGCCCCAGCACCGTGGCCCCAAACAGCAGGGAGATCCATGGCAGGCACACTCCGGTCGTGTAGAACAGTGCCACCTGCGCCAGCACAGGGAGGATCCAATCCCGCTTCAAAATCGCCCCAATGGTATGACAATACGCTAGAGGCAGGCTGTTAGACTGCAGGTGCAGCAGCCAGGTGCGGCAGGAAGCAGCCCACCTGCAGGAACCGCGTGCCACCGACGTGACAGATGGTGGGCAGGGCTATGTTGATCAGGCGGCAGAAGAAGAGCACGGGGCGCCGGCCGAGCCGCTTGCCGAATGCCGCCTCTCCAATGTCTGCAGGAGGGCAGTGTGCCTTTTGGGCTGTGTGCTCAGCTGCGGGGAGTATGTTCAGGATCATGCAGGGACAGTGCGAAAGTGGATGTGCATCAACGCCGATGCTGTTGAGGCTCACCGGCCAGGTCGAGCTTCCCTTGCTTGTCAGTGTGCAGGTACAGGCGGTACAGGATGGCAGCGGAGTAGACGCTGAACAGCGTGCAGAACAGCAGCAGCTTGAGGGCCACTGAAAAGCCCAGGAAGGAGAAGGCAAAGGGAAGCCAGCCCCTGCAGGTGGGCGCAGGCAGGGGAGGGCAGCGGGCACACACCTAGGTGAAGATCGATCGCGGGCCTCATGTTGGGGGGGATCAGGTTAACTGCTTGTTTTATGCCATTGACAGTGCGAGCTGCAACCAGGCTGGAGCTCCAGCTCTGTTCTCGCAATGCGTGTACGGATAGCAACTGTGCCGCATGAGTCCAGAGTCCACAGTGTGCACCCACCAGGCAAGCTTGGGCTGCAACGTCAGCCCCACCATCAGCCACTCTCTAGTAGCCTCGCTGGGCTGCACATCTTTCATGGTGAGGAAGGGCTCTGCATCCAGCGTGCTGCCCTGCCGCTCCTGCAGCCCACCGCCATGCAGCAGCACGTCTGACGAGGGCGGCGGCTTGAAGAACGCGACCTGGAACGCGTGCAGGCGGGAGTCCAGCTGGCCGCTGAACGAGTGCTTGTGGATGGCGTGGTGGTGGCCTGCGCAGCAGGAGGAGGCGATGGGCTGGGACGAACAAAAGGGCCTCAGCCTAAAGTGGGCAGTGGGAATGTGTGTTGGCTGCTAAAGCTCTTGAGTGCTCACCGTGTGGGGAGGGCAGCAGCGACTCCTCCTCATAGTCCCCTGCAGCGAGGCTGCTGGCCACGGCAGACACCTCTTTGCTCAAGGGGTGGGCGCCCGAGTGGCGGTGGAGCGGGTGAGAGTGCGGTGCAGCCACCTGTGACGGCTGTGCCGCCATCTGCCGCGATGTTTGACCAGTGGGTGAATGCTGCCTGCCGCCTCCAGCGGCTGACCGGCCCCCTCCCGACACTGCTGCGACAGTGCTGCGATGCGGATGCCGAGCTGGGGCTCACTGACAACACAAGCGGACCCTCTCGGGCCAAGTGCGGCTGGTGGCGGGCGAGCTCCTCAGTGCTAAGTGCAGCGATTTCCAAGGCTCTGCGTATTGCTCAATGCCGGCATAAGGCGACAACGTACAGGTTTCTTCTCGGCCCCTTTCTACTGCGTCCCATTTTCTCCACAGCGAGTGGCATGGCTCGCCATTGCGTGAAGCTGGCGATCGGGCGGTGCTGAGGGTTCCAGCAGCCCGGCTGGACCCACCCGTCTGGGGTTCTCGCAGGAGGGCAGGCATGGCGCTGGGCAAGTTGGAGCGGGCGCTGTATCGCTCTCTGCTTCGCCTGGGACGCCAGTTTGATCGGCCCGTGCTGAAGGTGCGAATTCGGAGCTCCGCAGCAGTTCCTGCTGGTTCTTCTCTGCTGCCAGCCAGCGTTCCTGTGCCTCAGAAGCATCAGCGGTTCGCCCGAGCCTCATAAGGGCTCTGCCACCCTGGTGCTGTGCACCCCACGGCCACCACCGCCGCCGCCGCCGCCGGCCCTCTGCCGCAGGCGCTGGTGTGCCGCAACCATGGCGCGGCGCTGCCTGCCGGGCTGGATGCGGTGGTGGCTCGGTTCCTGGGGGGCGCCCATTACTACTGGCCATCGCCCGGACCGCAGCCGCGGGTGCTGGATGCCGTGCAAGACGCCTTCCGCCGCCCGGTGAGCGGGCCCAGCTGGGCGTTTGTGTCTGTGCGTGGGCACAGCCTGGCTGCTGGCACCCCGTTGAGCATTGCAGGATGCTCACGGCAGCCAGCAGGAATGTGCAGCCCTGGGTGGTGCATGCTGGCGCGCGCCCTCTCGCGTGCCATCGGCTGTTGCCACCACCTGCCGCCGCCTGCGCTTGCTTGCCCCGCAGCTGGCCGGCGGCGGCGGTGTGGAGGATGCGTTTGCGGGCGTGCGCTACCTGTCTGGCCTGCTGGGCGTGGCCCGCAAGCACAAGCTCCTCAAAGAGGCGGGGCAGCGTGGGCTGGCGGCCGCCTCTTCCGCCGCAGGGCAGCAGCAGGAGGGGGAGCAGCAGCAAGAGGAGGAGCAGCGGCAGCAGGGGCCTGGCGGCGGGGAGGTGGAGCTTGCCGCGGCGCCGGGGCGGGGCCTGGTGCTGCTGGCGCACCCGTGCCTGCTGGGCAGCATCTTCTCGCGCTCCGTGGTGCTGCTGTGCCGCCACGAGGCGCAGCAGGGCGCGTACGGCCTGGTGGTCAACAAGCCTCTGGGCAGCAGCCTGAAGCACCTGCACGAGAGGTTCCGACAGCTGCACGCTCCCGGCGGCGGCGGCGTGCTGGGCGGCGGCGGCGGCGTAGCGGCCGCCGGCGGGCTGCTGTTTGGTGGCGGCGGCGCAGGCATGGGCGCGGGGGCCGGCATCGCCGCCGCCGCCTCTCCGGCCCCCGCCGCCGAGCTGGCTGCCGCCGGCCGGGAGGCCGCCGACGGCGAGGGCGATATCCCCGCGCAGCACCTGCAGGCGGCCGTGGATTGGCAGCAGGGCGGCGCGGCGCGGCGGGCGGGCCCCGGCGCCCAGCTGGCGGATGACGTGGCGGCGTTGCAGGCGGCGCTGCAGCAGGCGCTGGCCCTATCCCACCTGTACCGCGCCCCCGAGAGCCGCAGCGAGGATGTTGATGAGCACGGAAACTGGATAGAGGCTCCCTACGAGTCTGCAGAGGAGGAGGAGGAGGAGGAGGAGGAGGGCAGCTGCAGCGAGGACGAGTACGGCTTTGGCGCGGAGGATGATGCCGAGGAGGCGGAGGGGGCAGGGAGCGGCGACGTCCTGGCCGCGCGCGGCGGCGGCGCCGGCCGGCCTGTAGACATCGCCAGCCTGCTGGCGGCGCTGCGGGGGCCGCAGGAAGGGGAGGGGGCAGACGTGGAGCTGGTGCCCCTGGGTGGGTGGCACGCTAAAGGGGCTGGCTGCCGGGGCCCGCCAGCGCCGGCCGTGTTCCACGCCTGGGCCGATCCCGCCCCCTGCCGCGCCCTGCTGCGCTGCTAGCTCCATCCCGCCCTCTGCTGCATGCCCGCGCACACCTGCACACACACACACACACACACACGCCGCCGCCCACCACATGCACCATGCCCCCTTTGCCTGCCCTCCCCGCAGGCAAGGACGCCAGCGGCGTGGTGGGTGTGCTGGATGAGGCGTTGCGGCGCGCGGGCGGCGGCGTCGCGCTGGTGGTGGACCCCTCTGGCCAGGTCTGGGCCCACAGCCTGCCGCAGGGCGACTACGCGCCGCAGGGTGAGCGCCGGCAGCGGCGGCAGCCCGCGGATCAAATGCCGTTTGCGCGTGCTGTGGGCGAGGCACCCTGCCTGCTGCCTGCCGGCCCGGCTGGCAAGCCTGCTGACGTCAGCGCAGCAGCGGCCGTGCAGGAGCGGTGCTAGTCCCCGCCCGCTGCTGCACTCCCTGGCAGTGACTGGCTGCTTGGTGGGGTCCCTGCCTTCCTTGCAGACGAGGATGAGAACAGCGAAGAGGAGGGGGAGGAGGCGGAGGGGGTGCAGGCTGGAAGGCTGGCAGCAGCGGACGAGGGCCCCAGCGCTGTGGCCGACCTCCTGCTGCGCAGCCTGACGGCTAAGGATCGAGTGCTGCTGGCTGCACAGCAGCAGGCAGCCCAGCGGCAGCGGCAGCAGCGGCAGCAGCCGGAGCAGGCAGGCGAGCAGCAAGGGGAGGTGGCAGGCGGCGGCGCTGCGGCAGGCATGCTTGGCTCGGCGGCGGCGGCGGCGGCAGCAGCGGCCGATCCTGCATCCAAGGTTCAGCGGTTTAGGGCAGAGGTGCAGCGGTTGCTAGACAGCGTGTCTGCCCTGCACCCGCCGCGGGGCGGGCAGCAGCAGGAGCCTCTGGCTGCCACCGATTCTGGCAGCAGCCTGTTTGGCACCGGCGGCAGCCCCGCCGCCGCCAGCAGCTCAGCCCTGGGCGCCGGCGGCAGCGGCCGCGCGGCAGCAGCGCCAGGCAGCGGGCCAGGCGACAGCGGCAGCAGGAATGCCGCCACACTCAGCCAGCTGATGACGCTGTTTGCCGACAGCCCGCTGTTCCGGGGCGGGCCGGTGCCCGGCGTGCAAGTGCTGCACAGGAGGCGAGCCTGCCGCTGCTGCCGACGCTGGCTGCCTGCCGTCCTCTCCTCCCCCTGCTCTGCCGCTCCACTCGTCGGCCTCGACTCGCTAGCGTGCCTCTTGCTCTTCTGCGCCTGGCCCATGCCCCCTGGCCGCCCACTCATCCCCGCCCCTGTGGTGCCCTGCCTGCAGGCCCCGGCTTGGCGGCGAGCTGGTGCTGGCACCCTCGCCTCCCAGAGGCAGCAGCGCAGCGGCTTCAGCAGAGGGGGGTGCCGCTGGTGCGGGGGAGGAGGCTCTGGAGGGAGGCATTGTTGTGGGCGCAGACCTAAGCCGGGCGCAGGTGGGCAAGCACGCACCTGGCTGGCTGGTTAGACTGGCTGGCTGGCTGGCTCAGCGCAGGGGTGGCGGCGCGGGTTGCACGTGCCGCTGGCCGCGGCGGCGGGCCCTCCCTTTGCAAGCCCTGCCCGCACACAGCGCCCGGCTGTACTTTCCACACCAGCACTGGGCTGGGCTGGGCGGATGCCGCACGTAGTGGCACCGCTGTGACCCGCTGCCCTGCCTGCCTGCCCTGCCTGCCGTGCAGGGCCTGGTACAGGAGGGGTACCTCGGGTGGCAGGACGTGCGGGTGTGCATGGGGGATGCAGCCTGGTCGCCGGGCCAGCTTGAGGAGGAGGTGGCGCGCGGCACCTGGGCGGTAGTCAGGTGCGCGGCCCGGGCAGCAGGGGCGCCGCGCACTGCCGGGGGTGCCGCGTATGGCCTGCCTGCCTTGCCTGGCCTGGCCTGGCCTGGCCTGGCCTTGCCGTGCCGTGCCCGCCTGCCTGCGCTGTCGACGCAAGCTGGCTCCCCGCCCTCGCTCGCAACCGCCGGCCCGCTTCGTGCCGCGCCCTGCCTCCCTTCACCTCCCCGCCCGCCTGCGTGCTGCAGGGCCGACCCCGCCTTTTTGGACCTGTTTGGCGCCGCAGCCGCCCAGGCTTCCAGCTTGGAAGTCGACATGAGCGGCAGCGGCAGCGCCAGCACGACAGCGGCGGCAGCGGCGGCGGCAGCGGCGGGCGGCAGCGCAGAGGGAGGGGAGGCGGCGCCCAGCGCTGCGCAGGTGTACGAGGATGCCATGTGGTCCAAGTGCCTGACGTGAGTGGCTGGCAGGCCGGAAGGAGCTCTTCAGAGCCGGCGGGCTGATCGAAAATTGCCGTTGCAGGGACCCGAGAATTCGGACGAGTTGGCTGGCTGGCTGTTGGCCCGGTCGTGGCACCCTGCCCCGCAACGATTGACTGAAGTGCCCTGGCGGCCGCCTGCGTGCAGGGCGCTGGGGGGGGAGTATGCTGAGCTGGCGCGGGTGCCACGTGGCGTCTGGGCTGACCTGGCGGAGCTGGAGGTGTGAGGGCGGTGCAGGCAGCCAGCCAGGGCGCCTTTGCGGCTGTAGTGCAGCCGGTGTATGCAGCTTGCTCGTTGGGCCTTTGTCTGGCCATCCTTTTTGCTGGCCTCTTTGACCTCTGGTTGCTCTCCTTTGTCGCTTGTTTCTGTGCCCATGCAAGTGGTGGCCCTTGCTACTCCATTGCCTCCCTTTCTCGCTCCCTCACTGCTGCACAATCCACACTACCCACCGTTGCCAGCCTGTTGCTACACAATTTTTGGCTTCCAAGCATTGTGAAACGGCACGTTGCACAGCAGCAAGCAGAGAGGACAGGCGCAACGGTTCCCTTGGGCCTTGCGCTGCCTGGCACGATCGGCGGTGCTGCCGCCGGCCCCGCGCTACCTGCGGCTGCGCTGCCGCACATCCTCCCGCTCCTCCTCATACTCAATCTCCACCCTGCCGCGCCGCCGCTTGGGCGCCGCCGCCCTGCCGCCCTTGGCCGCCGCCGCCGCAGCAGCAGCAGCAGCAGGCGCCGCGCCGCCCTTCTGCTTTGCGCCGCGCCCTGCTGCTCCCGCCGGCTCGTCGCCGCTGTCGCCTGCTGCTGCTGCTGCTGCTGCTGCTGCTGCTGCCGCCGCTGCGGGTCTTGCGCCCCTGCCGCTGGGCCCCGGCTCCTCCAGGTCGCTATCCCCAAACTCATCGTCCTCTGCACGCGGCGGGGCAGGCACGCAGGCAGGGTCGGTGCAGGCGCTACCCGGCAGGGCTTGCGCGGGTGGCCAGGGGTGCAGGCCAAGGGAGGCGGGAGAGCGCTTCCCTGCCGGAGCGCCCCAGCGCACTCCGTGCACCGCCAGCCGCCAGGCCCCAGACCGACCAGGCGCCGCTGGCTGCAAGCGCAGCCGCGGCGGCCCGCCGGCTGCACAAGAAGCCGCAGTGGACGGCGCCCGGCGCCCGGCCCGGCGCCGCTTCCTTCAAGCTGCTGTGCGCACTGCGGTGTGCCCACCCACCTTCGCTGCCGCTGCCCTCCTCCCCGCTGTAGTCCTCCAGGTCCTCCTCCTCGTCTGGGTCGAAGCCCAGGTCACCCTCCTCCAAGTACTCAATCTCCTCCTCATCCTCATCCTGCAGCGACACATGCAGGAGGTGGTGGCGGTGCAGCGGGGGTGAAAGGGAGGGAGTAGGGCAGCGCGGGGGAGGTGGGAGCGGCGTGGAGCACGGGGTGGATGGATGGATGGCTGTTGGCCCCTGCGTGGCCGAACAGTCGTGCCCCTGCAGCGCGTTCCAGAGCACACTAGCAGGCAGCGCGATGCAGCACAGTGTTCGTTGCATAGTAACCAACCTCCTCCTCCTCCTCCTCCTCCTCCTCCTCCTCGTCCCCCTCCACATACTCCTCCACCTCCATCTCCGCCTCAGCCGCCTCCTCCGCCGCCCGCTCCGCCTCCTCATCCACCACCTCCTCCTGCTGCAGCGCCGCCTCGTACTGCCTCTGCGGGAAATTGTAGATGTCGCCGTAGGTGCCGCTCTGCGGGTGCGCGGGGTCGGCGGGAGGCGGGTGAGGTGGGCGTGAGCGCTCGGGGCCCCGCGGCAAGCAGGGGGCAAGCAGGCCACACCCGACACGGAGCAGCAGCCGCCCAGGAAGCCATCGGGAGAGAGGGCGGGGCGGGGCGGGGGAAGGGCCGCCCCGCCCCCTGCCGCCGCCGCTGCCACCACCACGGCCGCCGCCCCTGCCGCCGCCGCTGCGCAAGCTGGGCAAGCCGAGCTGAGCGGCGCTCTGGGCTTTCACGATACGATCCACACGCCCGGCTGGCCGCCCCCACACACACCTGCAGGCGCGCCAGCAGCTCCTTCTCTATCGCCTGGTCCAGCTGCGCCGCCGTCTCCGCCTTGGCCTCCTTGCGCTTCAGCTGCTTCTCCTTCCTGCGGGGGGCGGGGCGCTGCTGCCTCAGCCCAGCCCAGCCCACTGGGACACGCGCCGCAGCATGCATAGCACACACACGCCCCTACACACACGCACCCCACACACACACCCCACCGCTGCGCCCCGCCGCTCACGCCGCACAGCTCCATCCCGCCCCCGCCCAGCCCCCGGGGGCCCTCCCTCACCCACCTGGCGGGCATGGTGACCAGCTTGGGCCGCACTTTGAGCTGCAGGCGGCGCATGCGCATCAGGTACTGCGTGATCTTGGTCAGCCGCTGCTTGTTTTTGTGCACAAGGAACTTGGGCCAGTAGGCCAGGTGCTCGTCCAGCTGCTCCAGGGCCTGCGCCAGCGGGGCGGGATGGGGGGTGGGGGGTGGGGGGGTGCGGGCCAGGCAGGCAGCGGCCGGGCGTGACGCCACGGCTGAGCGACACTGTGGGCCGGCGGGCGGGGCGGGGTCCCTGGATGAGGCGCGTTGCAGCTGGCCGCAACCCCCCCTGCAGCAGCGGGCCTCCACCCCATCGTCCACCACAACACTCACGGGAATCCCCCACCCCAACACCAACATCACCACGCACTTGCGCACACGCCCGCCGCGCCCACCTGCGCGTACTGCCGCCGCAGCCGTATCTTCTGCCACATGTGCTTGGGCGTGTGCGCCCTCTCAATCGTCTTCATGTACAGGTAGCACCTCCCAGCCTCCTCGCGGATCGTCGCGTAGTGGCTGTTGGCCAGCGGGCAGCTGCTGCGGTTGCACAGGCCTGCGCGGCGGGCGTCGGGGGGCGGGGCAGGGCGGCGCCACAGGCGGAGGCTGTGAGCAGGGAGGCTGGCGGGCGCGCAGGCGGCCGCGTACGAGCTGCACAGTGCGCCACGCACTGTGCACACACGCATGCACCAGGGCCGCAGCTAGCTCCCTGCAGCGCTGCCAAACACGCTGGCAGCAAGACCGCCGCTGCCGCTGCCGCACCGGTGACGTTGTACTCGTTGCGGCAAAAGTTCTGCGTCTTGGTTTTGGCTCTGAAGCTGCAGTGGCCGTGCATGATGACCTGCCATATCACCTGCAGGAGGGCCAGCAGCGCCGCAGTTGGGCAGGCCCACGCCATGCAGCGGCATGCAGAGGCCCTGGGGCGAGCAGCGGTGCCACACACCTCGTCGTGCTGCATGGTGACTGTCTGGGTGACGCCGCTGCTATATGCTGTTCCTGCCGCTCCTGGGGGAGGCTACTGCTGGAAGCAGGCAGGTGCATGCGCCGTCAAACGGGCTGGGGCGTGTTGATGGTGCAGCCCGCTGTCCCTACAGGCAGCCTGCATATGCTTTGCCTACTTCTCGCGCCTTGGGGTGGAAGGCACGCCTCAGCATGCACGCCATCCATTGCCGTTTTGCGACTGAAGCCATCCTGCACGTCACCGATCGACTTCTGCGTGCTCCACGATCCCTGGCGTGCCCCCTATCACCTGCAGGAGCCTGCCGACTCTGGCCTGCTCGCTCTCTCCCTCCTGCCCGCTTATCAGTCCTTGTGGCGTAACACTCAAGTCGTCTGCATTCCAATCACCGATCTACAATCACCACCAGCGCAGCAGCAAGCCAGCCGAGATGCAAGCTTTGGGCAGGGCGCTTGTATCCCTGCGTGGCGCCTGCAGCTCGACGGGCAGAGTGGCGGTTCGGGCGTTTAGCGAGGCGGCAGCAGGTGGGAGCCTGACAGGGATAGGGTCAGGCGAGGCCGGCGCTCGGTGCGGAGCCAGCCGCCTGCGTACTCGGCTGCCGTCAGCAGTCGCCCACTGCGCTTCCTGCCATCCCTTAGAAATGGGTATCCTGAATCTCGTGGGTATCCTCCATCACGCTCACCTCGTGCGCTGCCCTCCGGCCTCACCGCCTGCACCGCTGCAGGGGCCCGCGAGGCGCCGGCCGGCACGGCGGTGGAGCAGGAGGGCGCCAAGAGCAAGCTCTTCACGATCCTGGGTGCCGCCACCGAGCCGCTGACCTCTGGTGCGTCACGCCTTGCGCTCTCGCATGGCACGCTGCTGCCAGGGCCATCTCAGCTGCACACGTGGGAAGCTGCCGCACGTGCAGTGCTTGCGTGCCGCTCCCGTGGCGCGTCCTTTGCGTTCCTGCTGAGGCAGCTGTCTTCTGGCTAATAGCACCCCAGGCTGCTGATGCCGTGGCCTGCCCCGCGCTCTTCCTGCTTCTGCTTGCAGCGCAAGTGTGGGAGCAGGCGCAGAAGGCGGGGCTGAAGAGCAAGCGATTCACCAAGCAGATGCTGCACCAGCTCAAGGATGCGGGCTGGGTCAAGACGCAGCCGCTGCACGCCAGCGGGAGCGGCAAGAAGCAGCGCAGCCACGGATATCGGCTCAACCCCAAGCGGCAGGAGGAGCGGAGGGTAACGCTAGAGGGCAGAGCGCGCAGGGCGGGGCAAGCCAGGGCCGCCGCCGCCAGGGCAGCCGCAACTTGAACACGCTCCTCCTTGCTTTCTGTTCTATTGTTGCCCTGCTTGACATTGTCCGATTCATCGCCACCTCCACCTTCAACGCCCATCAGCATAGGCAGCCATTCCAGCATGACAAAGGGAGGCCTGTTTTCGACCGGCGGCGACCGGGCGACCGCCTGGCGGCTGATTTGCCCCCAGTCAGCGGCGCACAGTGCCGAGCTCAAAACCTCATCCACCTCTCAGTCCCTCCATCTCTCCTCTCAGTCCCTCCACCCAGTTATTCACGGCCTCAGGTGCAAGCGCCATGGCGCTTCAGTCAAGTGCCTGGTTGACACCATTGCTGCTGGTGGCCTGGGCGACCGCTTGTTGTATCACGACAGTGAGTTGGGCGACCGCACCGCTCGCAACCTGCCAGGCTTTCTCCCCCGACACCAGGGCCATACCACCCCGGACATTATATTCCTCCCTGCTATGGAGCCCAACCGCGCCCACACCATCTCACTCAGCCAGCTCACCCCTGAGGAGCGTGTGCTCGTCTGCGTGGAGGTCACGCATGCCGCCGACACCCGCCTTTCGGCGGCAGTTGCTGACAAGCTGGAGCAACACAGCTCTTGGATGCATTACCTGGTTCAACAGGGATGGCAGGTCACCTGCTTCCCTGTCGCCGTGTCCCACTCGGGCCTGGTCACTTCCACAGCGCGCGCTGCTCTCGAGCGGTGCGGCGTTGCGCCCCGCCAGGCGGCAACAGCGGTTCGCCGCCTTGTGCGCAGTGCCCTCGCTTACAACGTGCAGATCCGCACATCGCGACGATCGCTGTATGCACAGACGCAGCCGACAGCTCAGAACCCTCCAGATCCAGCCTGACAGCCTCCTGTGGGGAGGGAGTGGCGGCAGGCTTCCTCTGGAAAGTCGCTGCCACCGTTTCTCCCCCTGAGTCACCCGTGTTTGGTCACATCTTCTTCTTCTTCTTCTTCTGCGTGTGCCACAGGACACAACAGCGCCGTCTGTTTGTGTCTTTTGGTCCTGGGCGCCCCTGTCGCCGCTCCATGCGACTGTCCCTGTAGCTTGCACTTGAGCCTTCTGAGTGTGCTGCACGGCTGCACGCTTCGTGATGGGTGCGTTGGGCGACCTGGCGGCCCTGCAGGAGCAGTTCCACGCACAGCTTGCGGCGCTGGGAGCACTGCAAGAGGGCCGCGTGCCTCCTGAGAACACAGTGCTGGCGGCCTGTGGCGGGAAGATCCCGCTGGCAGCGGTGAGCGCGCGTCACCGCCGCTCTACCGCCGCTGACCCTGCAGCGCGTGTGGCGCTTTATTGTAGTCTCTATTTGCAGCAAAGCGCTGCATGGAAGTGCTGCACCCAGGCTGTGACGTCTACTTGCTTTTGCTTTGTGTGCGCCCATCCCTGCAGGCAGCCGAACTGGCCGAGGCAGCCGCTGCCTACCGTCAGCAGCAGGCCGCTGCGATGGCTGCACTTGGCTCTGCCGCTCCCGACACTGAAGCGGGGCAGCTGCAGCAGGAAGGTGCCATGGGTGCCAGCGCAGGCCAGCAACCAGCCGCAGGCAGCAGCGGCAGCCGTGAGCTTCCAGAGGCAAGTGTCGCGGCATTGTTGCGGTGGTGTGCCTGCAGCTGGATGGCCCTGGGCTCAGCCATGGCCTGTGTGCCCGCAGCGCATGTCAGGCAGCTTCTCAAACCTGTGGACTGCACTCTTGCCTTTCTCAGCACCTCTTTCCGCATGCCTTGCCACCCACACGCTTTCTCGCTGCCGCCCTCCTGCAGGCCGAGCAGCTGCAGCAGGCGATTCGTGACAAGCTGCGGCGGCTGGCCCCGCAGAAGCGCAAGGTGCAGCAGGAGGTGCTTCTGGAGCGGTCGCTGGGACAGCAGGTGAGGCGGTGTCTCAGCCTGGGGCCCGCGCAGCTGCCTTGCGGTGCAGTTGAACCAGGCGCCAGCAGCATGGCCGCGAGCTTCCACGCCTCTGCTGCGGCGGTGGCGGGATGTGCTGGGGCGCCGCCCCATGGCTGTCCCCGCCCCTCTGGCCTGGATCCTTTGCATTTGCGTGTTGGCTGTCGTTGGTGGCAGCACAGGTCACCGGCCTAGCTCCTCTACCCTCCGCCTGCCACGCCCTGACCCCCCTTCAGTGCTCCGAGTTCCAGCTCATGGACTGGCGGCGCATGCGGCGCCCCCTGCCGGGCTCCAACCCCAAAGCCTTTGAGCCGCCGATGCAGCCCACAGCGCTGCTGATGCAGCAGGCAGCGGTGCGGGCGCAGCGCGCCGCGATGGCGGCACGCGCGGACAAGCTGCGCCAGCAGCGCGCGTACCTTGAGAGGCAGCAGCGGGAGCAGCAGCAGTGGGAGCAGCAGCAGCAGCAGCAGGCGCAGCAGCAGCAGCAGCAGCGCCAGGAGGAGGAGCAGCTGCAGCAGGACGGCGCGAGCCTTCTTGCCGCGCCCCGGGCGCAGGTGGCACATTAGTGCCCGGCCGCTTTCACCGCCCTTGTTTCTACCTGTCAACACCACTTCTATCCTGCTTGCCCTCACCGTCGAGGTTGATCGGTGGTTAGCCGGGCGCAGGCAAAAAAGCGAGGGAAGGGGCCCGTACCGGACTCACGCTACAGCGTGTGGGCTCGTGTGGGCGCAGCGCCACATCAAGTTGTAATCCAGTGTGAACGTGGTTTGCTGGCAATATATGTGTGTGTGTGTGTGAGTGAATTTGTGTGTGTGTGTGTGTGTGTATGTGAATACATTGGGGCCCACCATCTCGCATGCGGCGCGCTCCTTTCCACCCTGCCTGCCTAAAGGGACGCTCATCACTCCCGACCCTCCTCCACGAAACCGTTCCACACCATTTCCTCGAGCGAGCTCCTCCAAGGGGCCCTGCAGGCTCCCAAGCAGCTCTGCTGGCCGCAGTCCTGCCCTTAGCACTTCCCAGCAGCAGCCCCCAAGCCTGCTCCCCTCCCCAACCCACTCACCATGGCGAGCGGCGAGGACCACCATTTCTGCAGGTGGATGCTCCCTGCGGGCCACTCCCCTGAGGCCGCCCGCACTCGGGCCTTCCCCGGGCGCAGCCCAGCAGAAGCAGCTACGGCCCTGGACACGATGACACCACGAGAGCTGCGGGTGAGTGCTGCCAGAGGTGCCGAGGGGTGGCTAGTTTTGCCAGAGTCAGCCCCTCCCAGAGAAGCAGCGCTGGGGAGGTGCAGGGGCTGCTCCTCTGCCCACCATCAGTTTGGGGAAGCATTGCTGAAGCGAGGGAAGCTCTGCCACGAGCTACCTCGTATCCACAACAGGCACCTCCCACAACGACGGCGCCCTTACCGCCCCCCGCTCGTGCAGCCGTGCCGGCACTCCTCTGTCGCTCAGCATTCCCTCACCTGGCTGCCCCCACCTCTGTCCCTGCCTGCAGGAGGTGTTCTCTGGGATCTACGGGCAGCCCACCACCAGCAACAACATCGGCTGGTGCGTGCACTGCATTGTGCTTGCCGCTACGCACACCGGCGCGTGGCCCAGCTCGATCCTGTTTACCTTCTTCCTCTCTCCTCACTCTCTGTCCTGCCTTGTCTTGCCCTGCAGGATCCGCAACAAGCTCAAGTCGGGTGCGGGGCAGGCTGCGCCCCACCATTCGTGTCTGCAGAGTGTCGAGCGCTGTGCTTGATCCGGTACAGCCAGCTGCTGCCCACCCTGCTTACTCCCTCCAACCCTGCCTTCCTGCTGCAGCCCTGGGGGTGGGCGGCAAGAAGCAGCGCGCCGCAAGCAGCCGCAAGAGGTGAGGGCCACCGCAATGGCTGCCGCAGCCGACACGGGCAGCTGGTCTCGACGGCTGGCAACGGCGGGCGACACGCTCTTCCGGCCAAAGGTGCCTGCTGGCCTCCCCTGGTGCGTGCAGGTGGTCGCCAGTGGCAGCGCCAGCGCCAGCACCCGAGCAGGAGGAGGCTGCCCCCAAGAAGCACCGCCACGCCTCCCCCGCCCCGCCGCCGCCCTCGGCGCTGCCGGTGCCCGGCGCGCGCCACCCTGCTCGCTCCCCCAGCACTGGCTCCGAGTGGGACAGCAGCACCGGCTTTGTGCCGCTGGGCCCCGCAGCCGACGGCGCAGCCGCCCTGCTGGCTGCTGCCGCAGAGGTGGAGGTGCACGGCGGGGCCGCCGCGGGCCTGTACCGCAGCGGCAGCGGCAGCAGCGGCAGCAGCCCCTCGCCCGCCGCGCCGTCGGCTGTGCCGCTGGAGGCGCTTCTGGGGGGTGCGCCTCTACACGCCGCGCTGCAAGGGCACGCCGCGCCCGCGTGCAGCGCCGGCACCAGCGTGTTTGGCCACAGCGTCGGTGCCGGCACGCTGCCGCCCGCGCCGCCAGCCGGCGTGGCGGGGCCGGCTCAGCCGCTCCCCGACCTGCGCTCCCAGGTGGCCTTGCTGCGCCTGCTGGCCGCGCTGGCTGCTGGCACCAGCGCACAGGCACGCTGAGCCTGAGCCCATCCTTGCCCCATCCACACTGAGTGAGGAGAGCATCTGCATCGCCTTTGATAGTTTCGCCATAGCCGGTAGACTGCCCATCCAGCCACTAGCTACCTATACGCCATCCTACCGCCGCCGTGTTATTGCGCTCCAGTTTCATCCTGTTTGTACCAATAGCGATGGCATCATCCGCATCCTCACCTGTTGCTCTCCCTCGCTTGCCAGTTGCTCTCTATTAATTAAGCCAAATGCCCCATGATACACTCATCTTTATTGAGCGCTGCCCCTCTGGCAATGTTTCTTGTCGAAGCTGTTTTGATCGCCCGCCATTGCCTTCTTGATGGTGCCGCATTCTGCCTCTCCCAAGACTCTTCTGTTTGATTGAGATGGAAGCTCGTCTCACGCTAGTTGCATCCAAGATTCAGCTGCCTGCCTGTTTTACCCCGTTTTGGTAGCTACTAGCCCTGATGCCGCCTGGCCGTATCATACGGGCATGCTGGGCATGATGCCCAGCATTGCCGGCTGGATCCCATGATTTTGCACTCTCTTCTGCTGTCTCTGAGGCCTGGAGAAACACTGAATGCAATATCACACTGGAGCTGAAGGAACGCAGGGCGGCCTGCCGGGGGTTCAGTAATAAGCATCCATTGATTGAAGCCGCCGCACCTGGCACAGCGCATCGCCGGCTGGATCCACCCCGTGTATTTGGCCCATGTTGCACTTCTTCCATCTCCCCCCTATCTCAGGCCTGAAGGTGCGCCGTCCGCCTTCTCCCACTGATCGCTGGAGGAGGAGGAGATAAGCGGGCCAGGGCCAGGATGAGCGGCGACACGGTTGTGAACCACAGTTATTCCCTGGCCGCGGAGTGCGGCTCTGAGATGATAGGCACATGCCTGGTGCGCGGGGCGGGTGCTGGCGGTGCTGCGGAGGCTAGGGTCTTCTCGAGGTGCTCGACCGCACGACTTGGCGCCGCCCTGTGCGCACCACAAGCATGCAGTTGGATGCAGTGGCGATCGTGAATGCGGTGGCAGCCGGGGAGCCGAGCTGGGATCGCCGCCGCCGCCGCCGCCGCCGCTGGCGGCGGCAAGCGCGCCCCACGCTATTATTGGAAGTGCTTTTGCCAGCAGCAGTTTGTGATGCCCGCAGGGGCGCAGCTCACATCCCTGTGGTATTCCGCTGTGCTGCAGGTGATCTACCTGGGGGAAAGCATCATTGCCAATGAGCTGCTCAGCAAAACCAAGGTGCCCGCCGCCCGGCCGCCGCCGGCGCCGCCTGCGAGCGCGCCAGCTGAGCCGGCCTGCACCGGTGGTGGGCCCTCCCCCTGCACCCATCCCATCAAGACAATGCCAAACACAGCTGGCGGGCGGGACTGCTGAGCCTGCCGCGCTCCACGGCGTGCGCGCGTGTGCAGGGGGCCAGGATGGGGTGGCTGGCTGTGGCGCTCGGCTTTGGCCTGTCCTTTGGCGTCGTCATCATGATGTTTGGATACATCTCCGCCCACCTCAACCCAGCCACCTGCCTGGCGCTGTGGGTGGCGGGCAAGGTGCTGGGGCCGTGGCTGGGCTGCCGCCGCGCCTGCACACACGCCAGCCAGCCTGCGCCCACCCCAGTGCCTCACGCCAGCCTGCCTGTGTCCATCCGCTCGCCGCGCACCCACCCCCCGCCTGCCTGCCGCCTGCTCACCCACCCCACCTGCCTCACAGATCTCCTTCACCCACTTCCTGGCGCTGTCTGGCGCGGAGTTTGCGGGGGCGTTTGTGGGCGCCTGCCTCGTCTTCCTGCACTACCTGCCACACTTCAAGACCGTGCCCGAGCCCATGGCCTCCACCGCCGACGACATGCTGCTGCGCACGTGAGCGAGGGGCACGCTGCGGGGTGGCGGTGGTGGTGGTGGGCTGGGGCCCGCCGGTGCCCGGGGCGCACGCGCGGCCAAGCGCGGCCGGCTCGCGCCGTGTGGGCTGGGGAGCAGCGGCACGCGCCTGTACGCCGCTGTCGGCACCCCTCAGCCCCTGCACCCCGCCACAACAGGAGCGACCAACCGCTCCCGCTCCTTTCCTCCCTCCCTCCCTCCCTCCCTCCCTCCCTCCCTCCCTGCCGCCTCCCCGCAGCCGCGACGCGCTCAGCCCCGAGGCCCTCAACATCGCCTCGTATGACACTCGGCGGCAGGCGCCTCGCGACTTCAAGGGCGTGGCCGCCACCATCAAGGACGCCATCAACGACGTCAGGTGGGTGGGTGGGGTGGGGCTGTGTGTGTGTGTGTTTGTGTGTGTGTGTGTGTGTGTGTGGTGGGGGGTGGGGTGCAGGCTGGGTGCCCCTCTGTTGGCGCACTGGCTGCTGGGCTGGGCTGGCCGCTTGGCTGGCACTTGGGGCTCGCTGCTCGCTGCCCATGC